AGAGAGAGAGAGAGAGAGAGGGAGAAAAAATTTGTTATTTATATTTCAGATGTCAAATTTACCATTTTTGCATCGCTGTCGACATTCGTCCTCCGTTGCAAAATTGTTCTCATTACCGCCACAACCGCTATAATAGAACAATCGGCAAGTGCCCACTCGAGGATCGTAGAAGAATCGGAGATGAGCTTCGGTACATTTACCCGTATTAACATTTTGCATACAAATATTATTTACCTGCCTACTATTACTACCGTTTACTGTAAATAATGCTTTGGCCAATGATTGTTTCGGTAGTTTGGCTGCAAATAAATGGATGAAATAATTTAAACATATACAAAAAACTACAAATCATTAAATTTGTAATCTCATAACATCTATAAACCAAATATTTGATACTAAATTATGGTAAATTTTTAATTTAGCCTAAAAAAAACTATTGAAACTACTGTATCTGCAAAAGTACTGTATCTGTAAACTACTGTATCTAAATATGTTAGTAAACAGTTGAAAAAAAATGCACTATTGAATAAAACTTGCAAAAAGTGACAAGAAATTTGTTTCAGGTTAATAATATGAGAAATCATTTTTTATCATTTTCTTTTTTTAACAAAATGCTAAAAATAAAAAACTAGATTTATGCAAAATTGCCAATTTTATCAATAATATGCAGAATAGGATCGATGAAACTACAACTGACCCAAGTATTTAAGTGTCTATTATGCATAACTAGGCTGCAAATTTAACTAGGATTTTAGGCCTGATTAGTTCCATTCTCTTTATTTTCTACATCTTTAAGAGAGGCAAATTGAAAATGTGATAATTAAATCACGTAAAATGCGCTAAATACTAACAATCGATCCGTGCAGCTGTATTTATTGCTAAAGGACGATTGGTAATAATTTGCGCCTGACGTTTTAACCTAAGTTTTCGTACAATCAGTTCGTTACCATTTATTGGTCTCTTTTTGACACTCTTATATCCACGTTTTACTTCATCACCGCCATAGCCTACAATATTCTCATTTATAAATTTGAATATTAAAATTAATTAAATTTAAAATATTAGCACAGTAATCAAACAAATACAACAAAAATCTTTCATATGATTGTAGTGATTTTTGAAAAAAAAAAGCAAGTTGAGTAATCAAAAAAAAATTGATTAAAATTAAAACCTCCAAATACATGTTCATCGTATGGATCATCGGCATTTGGACAACAAAAGAAATCAACACCATTGAAGTAACAGAGTGAATTACCGGTACATTGATTTCTACCTGGTAAACACATCATCGGTCTACCATCTGCATGTTGCATTGGCTTAAGGCCATTAGGACAACTTGGTGCTTGGCTTATTTCTTCAACAATTCTTGGCAAATCAACATGATCATCATTGCTTATGTTTACAATTGTTGCTCCAAATGTTTTCGCATCAATAATTTTCCTTTCTATAATGGAACATGTAATAGAATTTAATAGAAGTAAAAATTCAAATTTAAAAAATTAAATTAATCAAAAAGTAGATCCATTGAAAAGATTTCATTTTAGATAGTTTCTTAATGTAGATTAAAAAGATGGAACAAGGTGTAATTTACCTAAAGTAAGCGATGATAGTTCTGGAGAAGGTGATTCCTCCATAGTCATTGTTTTCCTTGTCGATCCATCTAACCTTTGAGGAATTAGTTGTGCAGGTGTTACCGGTATAAATGGTTGTGCTGATATACTTGATGATGTATGATGTTGCTTTGAACTGATTTGCTGTATTTCTTCATCACCAATCGAATCATTATCTGATATTATCCTGAAATCGGAATTGTTTTGATAGTTTAATTGAATGATGTATGATTGAATAATAAATATATGAGTTACCTGTGATGGTGATTTTCAGGAGCATTCTGAGAAATAGCATGAATATGGTGCTGCCTCTTTGACATTTTATCTGTTCCGGTAATCGTCGATACAACATGTTGATTTTCCTGATCATGTGATGCAGCAGCAAAATCTTGTTGAAGAAGATCTATGGAGGTAGTTTTTAACGAATGCGCAATTTGTTTGGTAGTTGTATTCATCGCATGAACTTCATCATCCAATGCTAGAAAAAAAACTATTAACTCTTTGCTTATTCAATATTTCAAATAATTCTGTAAATAAAATTCGAATAAATTTAAGGATAGTACCATTTGTTGAACGATAAAAACTAATGAATCCAACATACCTAATATTATGAATGCCATTTGAGAAATAGGCTTATGAATATTTCTGTCCTTGTGATATTTGACATTTGATTAAATTTATGCAAATTAACTGAACTTTAAAATATTTGATTAATTTAACAAACTATACTAACATATGCAAAAGGTTTGGCATTCACCAAGCGTTTCAAATTGATTCGAATTACCACCTTCACCTTTATATACCATTTGTTCGCAACGTAAGTTACGCACGTTGAAATACCACTTAACGTTATATCCATTACCATAACCCTCATCTTTCCTATAGGTACATCGTTCTGGTAACTGTGATTTAATCGGCTCATCTATAAAGTAAAATTGTTTATAATCTATTTTTGTTCTTTGATCTTTGCATGCATGATTCCACTATATATTTCGGCCAAGAGAAGAAGCAGGAAGGTTTAATGGGCGCAATAATATTGATTCATTATGATGTTAAAATTGAGAAAAATTAAAATTACAAATTGAAACATACCTTGTGTGCATTTTGTCTCGCAAGCATGTCTATTAAGAAAGTTATTACTATTACCACCACATGAACCATATGAGAATTGTTCACATTTTGCTGTTTGTGAATTGTGAAACCAACGAAGTACATAATCATGACAAGTACCAGCATCTGGCGGTAATACGCATGTGTCATCCTCAGGTTGCAATTGTTGCAATGAGGTAACAATAGGATGGGTTACCTCATCCGGTGTTGTTAGCGATGTCACTTGTGAATTGGAAATGTTTTGCTTATTTGATATTTCAAACTCTGTCATCTCTTCCTCATGCGCATTTGATGTTTCAGATTCGATCATTTCCTCCTCAGGTGTATTTATGGTAGTTTGATCTCTTAGCACTTCTTCATTTTCACCTGAAAATTGAAATTCATTAAAGAATACTTTTGTCCAAAAGTTTATTCTTTAATCTCATCCATCATGCGATCATACTCATAGCAGAAGATAATGGTCAAAAGAGAACCTTGTTTGTCAGTTGTCTGGAAGGAGGTGTTCTGGGCTACCTGTGTATCATTTACTGCTATAAATTGCTGTCTTGTTGTTTCACTGAGATTTTCCGGAAGTGATTGTTGGTGCTTTAAGGAGTGGAATCTGTGACCTACAGTGTTTATTCGATGATCTTGATTCACTACCATATCAGATTGAGAATCCGATTGTCCGAGAGAAGTATGAACTTCTGTTGATGTTTCTTGAATGTCGGGTATAAATGAGTGTAAGACATCATTTCCGGGCTTTACTATCAGTGTATTACCGATGTTATGTGATGATAAATCCTGTTTTCCTTCACTTTCTTCCTTCTCCGTTTCCTTTGTACCGTTTGAAGCAAACGAAAGCTGCTTCGTCATAATGTTAATGTTACTGTTTCCTGTCCAGTCACCTGATACCACTGTATGAGTTTGATTTTGAAAACTGGGAGCATTCATGAAGATCGATGAATCAGCATTGAAATAATGGTTTTCTTCAGATCCCTTCATGGATTTTTCCGACAATTCAATTGACTTTTTCGTTTGAAATTCATTGCTACCTACTGTAGTATCTATTACATTTGGTGACAACTTTTGGATAGAGGTGGACAAAACCGCCGGATCATTTGTTGATATTAATGGTTTTCTTGATGTATTCATTACGGTTGTTGTAATAGGAAGGCTATTATCATTGTTATTAAGAGCTGTGTTAAATGTTGCAAGAGCAAATGTACCAATGGGATCAAAAGAACCGAATGATAATTTTTTATCTGATAATTCTTCTTGCTGTGAATGTTGTTCCGGAAGAATCTGCGAGTTTATGATGGATTGCAAACCATCATAAAGCCACGATTTACCGGGTGGAATAGGTTGACTGAGAATTTGCGGTGGAGATTGAATGGATGGTTCAACTGACTCTTCTCCCCTATTGTTAACAATTTTAGATTCTGAAGCTAGTTTTTGAGAAGAAGAGATTGGGCCTGACTTTTCGACCGTCTTGGAAGAGATTGGCATGGTACTGATACTTGCAAAAATTGCCGTAACGGAGTGATTGATGGATATCGTCGAAGAGATTGAAGTAGGCGCAGTACCAGCAGTACTTGAGATGATCGACACAGAAGCCAGTGATGGAGCGGCATTTTCCATTGCTGATTTTACAGGTCCATTAGATGATAGAGTTGTAGAAGGAGTAGTGATTGTTAACGATTCATGGATATGTGAATTCAATAATGTGGTATAAGTTTTGTCAATGTATCTGTATCCATCAGGATCCATATTCCATTCCTTAGGAATTATTATTGGTGAAAGATTGGATCTTTCATGGATGTCATTGATAGCATTATTGTCAACACTATCAGTGACAGTATCAAATTTATTTAATGTCACTTCATTTTCGATGTTTGATGCGACAAATTTCTGGCCCTTATGCTCAGGTATATTAATGTGCATTGTAATAGAATCATGCGAAAATTCTTCATCACTTGATGGTATATTCTGCTCAACAACTGCATGCTTGAGATGTGCGCCCCGTGCACCTGAAATGATAATGTGCTTTGTGCATGCATTGATAGTGCTGTGATAATGTGTGATAAATTCCCTATTCATGCATTATCTTAATTTTAAAATTGATAAGATACTATTCTAAAGATAAAACCTCTAACTTATAGTTTCAAGACTAATTATTAGATTCATTTTCACTCCTGATTTGTACTATTTAAAGATAATTCCTATTATACATTTCGGTTTTTCTGTTGTACTTTGTACCTATAAATCACACATTAGCCTTAAGTTGTTAGAAAAAATTAAGAGTACTCGGGATGGGAAGAGAAAAAGGCAAAGACCAGCAATGAGATTGTAGCCAAGAACCCAGTTATTCTTGGCTACTCAATTTCTCATTCTATATTTCTAGATTCTATTGATATCTTTGATTCAATGCATAAACATTAAGGTTAAAGAAAAAAAATGGTTAAATGAAAACCTCCAAAGAAAAAAAGGAATAAATTCATTGATAAAAGAAGCATTCGCTGATGATATATGCTTTGTAAAAGTTTCCCTAAACATTTTCAATAGAAAAAACAATATGAGCCGGAAATTTCTTTTTTTTTTCAGGCCAATTATCTCTTCCACCTTTTTTTTACAGTTCATCATTACCCTAAAGTTATACTTTCAAGTTTTAGTTTGATACATCAATTATTCTAATTAGATTTGTCGATATTGAAGGCTAAAGGTCAAGTACTTCAATGTGATCAGAGTTACTAGTATGCTTGCCGTTGAGACTTTCATTCTTAACTGGTGTACTATTATTGTAGGACATTTCTTCAGAGCTACTAAGATGATACTAATATCGGAAGGAATTAGTGATAATGACAGTAATGACAACAAAATTGATGATAGTGTTGAAGATGGTGTAATTATGATAATAGTGATGAAACTAATTGGTGATAAAGTTAACGATGAAACTGAGAGTGCTGATAATGATGGTGATAACGATGTGAACGTTTCCAGTGCAGAACCTTGGTTAATAATAGGCGCACGATTTCGTAATAGTGAATTATGACTAAATTGCATCAGTCCTGTTGCGAGGTAAACGAGTATCTACAAACTGAGAACTAGCATTCCCGAGGATAGAATCGACAATTCGAAAGGTTCATTAACGTTATTCAATTGCAAATGAATCTCATTCTTAGTTTCAGATTTGGGTGAAGTCAAATCAGCCAATGCTATATTACTTCTTCCGACATCAATCTTTCATCATTTCGATAAATAGGAAATTTGTAATTATTGTCACCAACAGATTTAACGAATATGGTATTGCTCATTAGTGCTTTTTTTTTGCATCCCTTTCTTAAGCTTATTTTAGTAATAATTCGTCATCATCCGAGCTATTTTGTGATTCTGACATTTCCGCTTGTAGTAAACTTGTTAGTTGCTCATCGCTTGATGCTTTCCATTTCTGTGTTGTAACAAGATCTGTAAGCATTTGCTTTACAATTTGATTGTCGCATACATTTGATGTTGATGAAAGAATATCTTCTTTCATCTCATACTGAGACAACTGCGCATCATGCCATAATGCCTGTTCCAATGATGTTTGTTGTGACAGTCCATTCTGTTGCTGATTTTGTGTGATATCGATTTCCTGAATCATTGCCCGAGATTTCTTCTCTTGATGGGTTGAATTTCCTCTCTCTCATTCAAAGATGTTCATCGTTGTAGATTCTATTTAAGTATTCATCTTACCTTCTTGAATTGGAATAATCTCTAATCTTAATGCACTGATCATTTATGTCACATTACTTTGAGCATTGCTTAAGACTTGTATCAAATTATCACTAATCTGATATCGATCTATGACTTCCATTAGTACCTGTTTGTCGTTATAGGTGACATTTTACCGCAGAATACTACCATCTGGTAGGTTATTTCCTGAAGAAATAAATCGAGGTTGTTGTTATTGTTGTTGCTCTTGCCATTTTACAGAACTTTTTGCAAAATTTCCGGATGTTATACTTCCATAATGTGTGTATTTTGTAATGCTTCATTATTGCTATGTTGCAAAGAATGCAAATCGTTTGATTTTTTATTGCTTTTCAGTAGCATAAAATTTGCATTTTCCAATTTCATTCCGGTATATCTTCCATCTTCCGGATCAAAATCAGCCATATCTTTTCAGGTATTTGTTTGTGTTATATCCCGCAGTTCTTGTTATTAACAGGTAAAAGTGTATCATTTGGGAAAGAATGATGCATAATGGTTTGTTCATTATTAGCAATCTCTTTGTTTTCATACTCATTTAAGTAATTCGGTTGATTGAAACCATAGAAGAGTGTTACATTGTGCATTTGTGACATTTTGATAAGCTGATATTCTTCTACGACCTGTACGTCCTATCTAAATAAATGCTAAAACTTACTTTGATCTTTTTTGTGTCTTTTCAAAAATGATAATCATTTCTATTTGCATAATTAGTTTTGAAGAGTGACCTGTTCAATTCTCCTCATTGATTGAGAAAATGATTATGATATGCAAATGATCTTTGCAGTGATAGTTTAATCAATGAAAATAAGAAGATTACATCATAGAAATTTAGATCAAATTTGAGATAATAAGCCTTTGCCGCCTAATGATAACCCATTTCTTCCATGCTTGCTATATTTGATGCAAAGAGTATTAAAAGATGTGCAATTGGGTGCAAATTAGGAGAACTTATTCAAGAAAAAAGAAAAGTTGCATGCCAAAAAGAAACCTTTTTTAATAATAGAAGAACTTACTAAAAAATCGAGCACAATGTATTTCACATTCATGCTTTGAGAAGAAATGATTCCGATTACCAGCACAACCACCATATTGAAATGATTGGCATAAACTAGTATTAACATTGAAAAACCAACGTTCAATGTAATTCTTACATGGACCTGCATCCTGTAATTATCTCATTATAAATAATCTATGGCAATATCTGAAGTATCTTTAACAATTGTAATTTCAAAATATGAAAATTATTTAATCCAATAATATATCATACCATAGGTTGTGTACATTTTTCACCCAATTCAATTACAGAATTTGTTTGAGAGATTCTTTCAGGATGAGAAGATGTTGGTTCATTCTTTTTGTCAACTTGATTTTCTAAAAATTTTCATAAAATTTCTGTTAAAATATTTTCAATTAAATATTACAATTTTATCAATTTTTATCTTTAAATTATTAGCATTTCTTTGTTCTATTTCATACAATTATTTGAAGTGGAAATAGAATAAAAAATTACGCAGAAATTGATCAGCCTCGAAAAGTTTCGGTTCATCAGTTGATGTATCAGATATTGAAGGAGAAGAAGTGGACGATTCAATCAGAGCATTTTCAACCTTTTTAGGTTGTACCATTGGACATGTGCATTCATGACAACCGCGGCGGTTTGTGAATAAAATACATGGCTCTACACACAACGATATGTCCACCGTGGGACATCGCATTGATACATCTGGTTGTCCTGCATTGGATAACAATGACAAAGGTACAAGTCTAAACTAATGTTAAGGTAATTCTGGTGTTTATACCAGCTTAATTGGATGAGAAATATTTAGCACGACAAACGAATTAACCTGACCTCGAACACACGTTTTTTTGCATTCGATAATAGATCCGAAATTATTGCCATTACCACCGCAACCACCATATGTAAATGGTCGGCATTCATTAGCTACCAGATCATATGCAAATCGCGGGAATACACCAGAACATTCACCCACTTCAATTGGATGTTGACATACATCGGTTGAAAGAGTTGGTCCTAAATAAATGCTTATGAAAGAATAAATTTTTGAAAAGATTGATCCGATCTTTTGTAGTGCTACCTGTCTCATGATATGTCAACATTACTGTGTGATTCGAACTTGTCGAAAAACAAGTAATGTTAGAAAAGTGGAAAAGAGTCTTCTTGGCTTGATAATGATATGTCCCGGCGTATCTCCATATCTTTATTCTTTTACCGCTAAAAAAGATTCATAAGACGAACTTTGCATAATACACCTGTTGCGACATTCTAAGGAACTTCCAAAGTTGTTCCCATTACCACCACAACCAGTATATGTAAATGGCCGACAATCGTTGATCGTGGAATCGAAGGCAAACCTCTCGAAGACACCGGTGCAATCACCAGGATGGATGGTGTGCTCGCAGACATTATCCACGTTGATTATTGGTTGTGCTGCAAACAATGAAAAGGTAAGGATGGATACAATGAAGTGTATTGTATCGTATTAGCAAAAAAAAAAGAATTGAAAATTACGAGATTGATGACATGCAGCAAAGCAATCTTCGCGGCTTCGAAAGTTATTTCCATTTCCGCCACATCCGGAGTAAGTGAATACTTGGCAGGTGTTTTTTTCTGAGTCCCAATACCATCGAATGAATTGTCCGGTGCAAGTACCACGATCAAGTTTTTGGAAACACTGATCAACCATATCTTTAAATAAATAATTACAATACTCTCATCTGATTTGATACAGTTAAGAATTATTCCTGAAATTAACCAATTTTACATACCTTTTCCTAAATTTGACTTAAAAATAGCACTTACTTTCAGTTAGTTGTGGTACTATTGATTTCATTGTTGGAGATGTAATCAATTGCGATGTTATGACATCACGAAGAGGTACAGTAACTAGAGTTGTTGAAATGGGTAAGGATCTTGATGTGTCGGATGATCTTTCTTCTGTTGTCATTGATGTTGATGTGGATATTGTGATTTGTTTTCCACTGTAAAAATAATCTATTGACATTTATGGATTATGGATAGATTAAAATTAGTGAATTTTTGAGCATTTACTTGTAATTATAAATTAATTGCAAATTTCTACTCAATAGAAAAAAAGATCAGAAAATAAAGCAAACCTGCTGGATAATTGTTGACCAGTAGTTGTGATTGATTTACTCGAGAATTTCTGCTCATTTCTATAAGATTCATCATCGGAAACGACAAACTTCTCTAAGTTGTCAAATGTCGCAGTTGTATTCTCAGGTTTGACAGTTGTAAAATCAATTACTTTATCAGTATTACTGCTATCCAATGATGTCATTGTTCCCTTTTGTTTAATCTTCTTATGAATATTTTGATCAATTTTTTGCGATAGTTGTAGCTTACTTTGATCAGTACTAGTTGCTGTAGTACTGGTACTAGATAAATCCTTACTTATGGTTGAGTGATCACGAAATATAGCTACCGATGAACTGGTACTTGTTTCTTTGGTTTCTAGATTAGCTTCACTAGTAGTATCATCATTAGCAATATTTCCCGTGGCATTCGAAACACTGTTTGTATTGTATTCATTGTTAGCTGAAGCAGCATTATCAGTTAATTCTATCAATTCGTTCTCTTCGCTAGTTTTTTTGGAATTTTTTGCTCCAAACTCTTTGTTAAGCTTTCTCATCTGTGGTCCCGAAGTAATTAGCTGAGGTGCTGATACTATTGATGTTGCAGTAAGTTTCACTTCACCTGAAAATTATGATAATAACTCATAATGATTTGTAATACAACTCAACTCACAGTGACTTATCAGACAAACCAATTTAACTTATAATGGCTCATAGTAAACTCAACTCAACTTGCAGTGACCCATAATACAACTCAATAACTCATAATACAGCTCAACTTCAACTCATTATACTTAAAAAATACTTGTACATTCATCTTGTCCGAATAGGAAAATGGTTCATGCAATTCCAATCTTTTTACTCGTTCAATTTCTTTATGCAGTGATTCAAATGTAAATTGTATTAAAATAATCAGCAAACATATCATAAAAGGTGATGTTGGATGATGATGATAATGACAATGGTATGACAATGATAATGACGATGGTGATGGTGATGATAATGATGGTGATGATGATGATAATAATGATAATATTAAGACAACTAATTGTAATATCGATAGTGATAATACCAAAAAGTAGATCGAGAAAAAATAAGTTAACTAACGTTGTCGACAAATGCGTTCGCATTCTTCTACTCGTTCAAAATTATTTGCATTGCCTTCACATCCGCCATAGAAGAAATATTTGCATTCTCCAAGACGATTGTTGTAATAAAATCTAAGTTCATATTGATCACAAGGACCCCGTTCTTTCGGGAGTTGACAAATATTGGATCCAACATCTAAATGTATACTACTCATTTTTAAAGCATGTAAAAACACTATTCTGCATGTGAATAAGATATTTCCCTGTAACAAAAAAATAAAAATAAAAGTCTAATTAATTAATGGAAATTAATACTTTCATCTGTTCCGCTATATTAGCGTCAATTTGAGTGACCTTCTGTAAACAATGATTTAATTCAACCCTTACAGTACATCATCTTCTTGGCTTTCTCTATTCTGTTTGAAATAAAACTTACTACGCGAAGCATTAATAGGACAACAAGCTGATCCTAATTGTGCAACGGAGCATAAGTACCCATCGGGACATGCACTTTCACTACAATTGACCAAATGACCATTTTCATTCTTTAGTGGCTCCAAGCCATCTTTGCATTTCGGTTCATTACTTGTTGATTTGCATTGTTTCTCACATAATGCTTTGGTTGGATAATTGTTACCATTACCACCACAACCTGATATCAATAAGTTCTATTTTAATTTGAACTTTTGCATAAAAATTTTTAGTTCAAATTTAAAAAATTTCTTCTCAATGTTTTCACACGCAATTAACATTCAAAGAAAATATCTCATCTAGTTAATTGAATGATTATCTTTCAAATTTAGGACAGAATGAATTATCAGTGCTAGAATTAATTGTCCATATCAATGGATTGAAAAAATATCGAATATGTTGATAACGTAAAACAAATCTTACGATACTTGTTGTCACATTATTTCATTAAATTTATTCAATTAAGTACACAAATAATGAACTGTTAACCTTGATCATTGATCGATCGTAATTTCCATTGTTAAATTAATTAGATCAAATAAAAAAAAAACACAATGAATACAATCGCCAACCAGAATATTCAAATTGGATGCATTGTCGTTCCCTTTTATCATAATACCATCTTTTGATTGCTGTATTACATGGTCCAGAATCTACTGCTGATAAACATTCATAGATTAATGACTTTTGCGCTTTTATTATTCCTACAAAGTAGCATAAAGTAGCATTAAATTTCACTTCCATCAATTTCATTGGGTAAAATAAAGAGTAATTGCAAAGGCGGAAAATAACGAATAGATGAATCACTGAACAATTAGAAATGAATCACATTGCAGGATACATGAAAGAAAAAAGAAACAAACGTTTGCAATCCGGTTTTTTAGCACTATTTGAATCGGAATTCGGTATTTTGATACCGTTATGATCCACACAGAAACAATTCTTCCTCTGTTTTTCACATTGTAATGGCCGATAAGAACCATCAGCAGTACAGATCGGAATAAAATCACTCTTGCTAAGGCCTGATTCACTTGCTTGTCTACTCCTTTCGCATTCTTCAATTGTAAGATTTTTTCTTTTAATTTAATTAAATTAATCAATTGCAAAGAAAAAAAAATTCTTTGAATTTATCAGATATTCTCATTAATTAGATAAAATATTGTAAATATTTATTACTAAAATTGATTAAGTGCTAAATTACATACCGGTGAGTAATTTATGAGGCGCATTTTTCTGATCAGCAAATGCAATTCGTTTTGATAGCATTGTAGTATCATTTGCAGTAAATGATTCAGTTATTGTATCGACATGTTTATCAGTCTTATCGGTATCAGTATCATTGGCAGTAATTTTACTACCTAAAGCAATTGTTGATTTTCTTATTGTATTCGAATTTTCAGTTGTAGTACCACTATTAGGCCATTTATTGAGACAGGCCTTTTCACATTCGTCTTTGTATCTGTATAGCATCGGTTCATTTTCATCATCCGCACAATGTCCTGCAATTTGAGCCTATATATGTATCATTATAATCTCTTAGCTTCATTTTCAACAATTTCAATCATAACCTTCACTCGTTCTTTACTATTCGTGCTGTAAGCCTAAAAGTATTTTGCAAGAAATGCTTACTTTACAATATATGTGAACATACTTATTTATCATTAAATGATAAAGGGTTTTTTTTTTTAATTCGATAATTCTTAGCTATAGTTTTACAAAGTAACACTGATAATGTTACCGAAAGGATAAGAGACGCATTCGTTATCCCTGAGATAATAACGTAATACAAATTGAGAACGTATTGGACCTTTGCCTTTTACGGTAGGACATCGACCTCGAAAAGGTTGCCGCTTGCAAAGATTTACATCATCTAAATTAATTACTTGTTAAAAATAAGCATTTATTTCGAACTTTTGATTGTTCAATGATATAAGGTAATGATCGGTCCCTTCTAATAATAATAAAAAATATTAAGACATAATTACTGTATTCGTTATTAAAGCCGGAAACTTATGACCGTATCAAGTCAAAACCAAAATCAAATCATTTGATTGATTCATTTGAAATTTTACATTGCAATTTTCCGCAACATCACAAACAAATTTGGTCCTTTTGATTCCTTTAAAATGATTGGATGAGGCACTAAAATCTGTCTTATCATTTCTATCGGAAATATTCCACTCATTAATTAATATTTAGACAAAACAAACCTAACTTACCTATCTTAATTGTTACAGCAGTGGTAATATAACAGAGAATGACAAGAGGCACTTGGGCCAGCAAAGCCGTCATATGCCCGAACCTACCGATCTCTAAAATTTTCGTAGTAGAAATTTGTTAAGTTCATAGGTCAACGTATGAACGCAATTTTAAAGTTATTTAGTATTGAGTGATATTTACGAATTTTTCTAGCTCTTAGTGATGCAAATAATAACAATTCGTGTTAAGGCTTTGAACAATAATGTTTAACTCGGGATAACGATATTTGCAATGAAAAGGATGTTAATAAAAGTTATTATCAATGTATTATCAAACTGAATATTGATACTGTATAAAGACCACACTTCTGAATATTTTATTTGCATGCAATAAATAACTTTACAACAATTTGATAATATCATTTATTGGATATTTATATTATAAGGCATTATTATGATCTGATAAACATTTCTGACTTACTATTTGGTGATCAAAGATTAGTGTTGAATGTTTTCTTTTCTTTCCTTTTTTTGCAATATCAGTATTCTTAACTCTTAATTTTTATTGTTTCCAATTCCTATTTTTAATAAAATTCTTATTTTAGTTTTCAATTTCTATTTTAGCATATATATTTCAACCGATGAAGGGGAAAGTACTTATGAGTTTTCCAGATGTATGTGTATGTGTATGTATGTTCATACACATAATGTCATTAAATATAGGTCATTGATATATGTATAAGCGAATTCTTTTGTATTTTATAAAAAATTTTTTTATCAACATAACGATAATTAACTAATTTTTATAAATAATTATCGTATCAAATTCTTAGTGATAATGAAATTAAAATTGCATGAAAAGATTATGAATATGTTGAGATAGTAATAATGTACTAAAAGTGTTATAGTATAAATGAAGTGTTGCATTAAGTTACTTCTACTTTAATTAACTTATTTAAATTACTCAAATCATAGATTATTTTTATTGATCCTTTCAACAAGTTAAAGATTACTGATAAAAGTTGACTTTTTCCAGAAAATAATTCTAATAGTTCAACGGAATTTTTGATATGATGAAAATAAACACGAATAACTATGAATGTAATGTTAAAATTTATGAAATAAATGTATCCATTGGTCAAAATGTATTGGTACAATATATATATATGTATTATTGAAGTTTTAGTGATAACGAAAAGGAATCAGAGCAGCTTCTTGAACCTTCTAGAACAAGAAGTAACATTCTTTGTAACAAAAGTATTTAAAAGAATCCTTTTTAACAAGTAGAGATTTAACAATGAATTCATAAAATCCTGAAATGTCAAAAATTCATTTATTACTAATTTGCAAAATTTGATAATGACTAAAAACAACGTTATCGAAGTTGTTGAAAGTTGCAAAATTTTATAAAATCTAAATAGCATAACTGCTAAGTGAAATAAGCCATGAAAAATTATTTAAAAAAAGACAAAAAAAAGAAATTGATTATTATAAAAAAATCGATTATTAAACTTATCAAAAGTAAATTATTCACTTGAAAGACACAACAATTTCAAAATTTAAATTTACACAAGAAGAAAAAGGAATTAAATAACGAATCATTTGTTATTTGTATATGGCACTATTTATCGGAATTAGAACAAATAATATTGTGAAACTTCAATGTTATGTCTTCTAAAAATATTTGAAATTATTATATTTGCTTACAAGATAAAGATAATGGATGAAATAAGTGAATTAATAAAATGAAATTAATATTTAAGAATTATATTTATAAATATTCGAAGATATCGTATTATTCCCATTATATTTGTTGAAATTCAAAATAAAATGCATAAGAGATCAATCAGTTATCAGTGAATGAATATGAAATGATTACTAAATGATATTAGTAGAAGAGATGAATTTAATTACAAGCATTTTATGGTTAAGAGACAGAAGATTAATCTAGTATTAAAATGAACTTTACGTCTTATTCAATATTTTGCGCCTCTCTGCTTATTTCAATTTTTTTCCGTCCATCCTCTTACAATTCAATAATGTTCTCATATACTTTATATCTCTTTTTGGTTAATTACTGATGAAATTAGCGTATTATAATGAACAAATGAATATTAGTTTTATGAACCGAGACATGACAGTCACTTATCTAATAGGAATTAATGAATCATTTGTGGTACAGAGCAATTTGAAAATGATAAAACCTTATCTTATGCAGAGCTCATCGGTATTATGTTGCGGAAGGGGTCATTGACGAGAGGGGGG